CTGAGAAGTTGGAGCAGACAACACTGCCAATATAAATTATTTTTCAGGGTTGTGAGTAATGAACATATAGGGACGGTCCTCTCCTATATCAAAAGCTAACAAAGAAAAATGTTCAAGTATTTAAGTAGTTGTATTTTTGTTTGTATTAACAATGCTTATAGAGAAGACAGCTTCAATCAACAGGATGGCATCTTGCAAGGCACTAATCTCATGCAGTTATAAAGCAAAAGGTCTGTTTCTCTCTGTGTGTTAAGGAAGGGTATTCCTTCTTTAATATAGATTCCACTGTTTCAGTGAGTTCCTACAGACAAAAGTTAATGGCTTCATCCTGTTAGACAAAAGGAAGGTGAATGTATATTGAAAACAAAGACTTTTTCAGGCTTCCTCTTTAGCATTTGCCTGATCCAACATAATACCTGACTAGCTTTTAATTTATAGTCCCAGTCTACAATTCCCAGTTACAGCCACGACACATTTCAGCTGAGGTAGGAAATCACATCCAGTGATCCAAGCAGTATCCTGATGAAAATGAAAAAGGTAGCTAAAGAAGGATTTTCTCTGTAAAATTTATAAACTTGTCTGTAATTTAAGTATATGTTTTAAACCATCTTTACATAAATCCTGTATACTCTGCACTAGCAGCTGCTAGGTCGAGCCCCAGTTAATGGAAATGAGAGTTCCAACTCCAGGAATAGCTCATACATGAAGTTACAGGGGCACCAGGCTCAACCTCTGTTATCGGTGGCTCACCCCAGATGCACAGATGTTGCAAATGAGAGGACACAATACATATATACTGTTAGTTGAACTGTAATGCCACTCTGAAAAAGGCACTCTGAGCAGAGGAATCTTAAGCTAAAATATCCATGGTAAAGCAGATTAAATTTTTACTTGGATACAGTTTAGTTCAAAATGAAATAAAGGCAGTCAAAATTTCAGCTATAATAGCACAAACCCTGTGGAAATGAATATTTACGAAAATAAGTAAATTGTATTAAATAATTTTAATTCTCCCAATAGGCAGATTAAATATTTACAAAGATATATATCTGCCTATATTAAGCCATCGTTCAAATATACCTCCAATTATACAGGTCAATCTAATTTCCCTTGCAAACTGTAATATTAGAAACTCAAATTCACTACTACACTGGCCAGAATTTTGGGTTTTTTGGTGGGGTTTTTTTAATCTTAATAGTTGATTTTTTCCCCCAAAATATAAAGGACCTTCCTAAATGAGAGTGGAATTGAAATGGAATATGCTCCATTTGCTATTTCTTCAACGGCACAATTATCTATTACTTTAAAATAATGCAGAACATCCATAAAATAACACTGACTGAAACATCTTTATTTTCTAGATTAAAGTGAAAAAGAAACATTTGACACAGACTTAAACTACACTGTTATTGCAGTTCTTCAAGTAAGCTATACTTACCTGTAACCTCTAAAAAACTAGTTCCTGTGGAAGTACTTGATAAACGGCTAAAACAGGGCTCTATGTTGCTAAAGATACAAATAAAAGTTTACATCCATGAAGTGAGTTAGGAAGCAAGAAGCACAATACAAAACCCATGGTGAATTGAAGACAGCTGCTGATGCTTCTACTTTTATTTCCATCATTGTACGCAGTATTCATTTTGCTGTTGGTGCAAAGGGTCCAAAACCCTGACAGAGTGATGTCAACACTCTATTGCAGCTTCTTTCCTTCCTGATGGCCTGTGGGCAATTGGTAATACACTTACAAGGATTTCTTGTGCTGTTTTCCACAATAAACATGTGTAAAAATGTCAGTCCTGCAGAGAATCTACGGATTGCTTGGTAATTTGTATGGAAAACTTTGTTAACTGTGGCTTTTTGGGGTCCTTTCAATAGTGCCAGATAACAATGACTAACTGGTGTGGAAAAGCTGATTTTACATTTGTAATTAAGCTACTATTTTGTAGTGCTGTCTTGTGATGATGCAGTCAAAGTAACAGAGCTGCATCTTGCAAAGGTTTCATAGGCTATCACATGTAGTGAGATGGTCCAGATGCAACAGGAAGATCAAATCCAAGCAGTAAGGAGAATCTTTGCACTTGACTGGTTACAGAGAAAGTCTAAGGGACAGACATCTCTTTGTTTTCTTTTTTGTGTTGTGCCCTGATGAAAGGACTTAAAACAATGATACCAAAAATTTTATTTCATATTCTTGTCTAGAAATACAACCAAGAATCTCCAATATTACTTTGAAACAATTAAACAAAACAAATCATGTTACAGGACAGTGATCTAAGAAGGCACGACTAGTCCTTATTTACAGACCAAATACCCTACTCCCATGAAAAGTTCTATCCCCCATATATAAGCTGTCCTGGTAACTGAATCTTTCAAAGTCAGTCAGTATATGCCTTGAGAAGGGACTTATCCCAGTTGAACACAAAGTACCTCTCACCTATTGAGGAGAAATAACTCAGTTAACATGTGATGATAATTGTGGAAGACAGAAGAAAGTCTGAGAACAGTTAAGGAAGAATGAGTGGGAAAGGCTAGACATTAGCTTAGCAACTCAAGGGAAACATCTTCATCATACTTAAACATCTTTCAGGCATGTTAGCTCAAGGCTACTATTCTGTTTTCCCATACTGAAGGTCAAATTCAAATACTTTGAGAACATAGGACAGAGTGAAAATGGCTGTTGTCATTTGGGCTGCAGGGGATATTCTTCTCTTGGGACACAATTTACTAATTCTAACAGAGGAATTAAGCAAAATATTACAATGATGTTCACATGTCCAGCAGTGAGCTACAGTTTCCAGACACGTGTCTTTAAATGTCTCAAAGGGCAAATGTTTTCCTTTAACTTCTGCCTCAAGGCCTACTATCAAAGTCTACTCTCTTGAAACTTTCTTCTAAAGGAGCTATAGGTCATCTTTTCAACATTCTGTGAACATCACCTCTTTGACAGTCAAGACTTCACAGAAGACTTTTTCTTCTTATGCTGTGTCTACCTGCAGGTAAAAATGCACTGGCTATTTACTGGGTGCTGGCATTTGACTCTGAGGCTTTTAAGTTTTTCTTTCAGCTGAGGTCAGAGCCCTTTCCACAGGATAGAATAAGTGAAGAGAGAAAGCCAGATCCTTTCTCGTTGATGACAGAAACAGATGCCAGGGACATTTTGCCCCTTTGAATATTTGGAGTCAACAAAACTATTTTAGGTTTTCGTAAGCACAGATAAATGAGATTCAACCTTTCGCATTCAGGAAAAATGAGAAATATTTAATTTTCCACAACTAAGCAACTAAATTTCACAAAATTGAGTTTGTTTCTTAATTACATTTGAGTCTAAGTTAGTCCATATACTTAAACTCTACAGGGCCTTAACAGTCTGTGCTTCCCACCAATCCACAGAATAACTTTGGTTCCAGTTTTATTACAGGCAATTCTGTTTCTCCCTCACTATTCTCTCCATGTAGCTGACGATGCCGAGCCACCAAACAGGGTATGAGCATGGGCTTCAGCTTCCCTCTCTTGTCACAGTATCTGTGATTAGAAGATCAGACTGTCAAACGAGAACTTGGCAGAAGTTAGTCCCTAGGCAAATGAAACAAGGAACACACACCCATGCATTGCTATTTAAAGGTACCTTAATGCTTAGCATGTTCTCAGGAGAAATCCTTCTCTCATAGGGTTGAGGACTATTATTCCTCAAAAGAATTAGCAGAGAAAGAGAAATGGATGTTGGAATAACATGTGCCTCCTGCTCTGACTATTTTTACTCCAAACAGGAACAGCTCTTTCCTCTTAATTCATTGACGGAAATGCCTGCTTGCAGTTAAGTAAACATCTAAACCAGTCAAGTAAAATTGAGCTTGATCTTTCTTTTACAGTGAAGCATCCTAGTCATTGTATTGTAGCATACAGTGGCTTAAAGACATGATTATCATCAAGATACTATTTCATTAAAAAAGGAGAGGAAAACTGACAGAACTTACAACCTCAGAAGCATTAAACCCACTTCTGGTTTGAAGAGTAAATAAAAACACATGTTCACATGAAGGTTTTTTTACAAGATCTATACAAAGGCTACATACATCAGCTTATGTCTAATACACATACAAATAAAACTGTGTGGTGCACACATTCTAATCCTCCTTACAGCATGTGAACTGCATGAACTTTGAGTGAAAGCAGAAAGACATAGGTAGAGAAGCAATGAACACTCCAGCAGGAGGAAAATGTTGGCCAAGACAGAATTTCTCTTGTAAGATTCTCCTCTCTATAAAAGATAAATATTTTTAATTACTGACTGGCAGTCTAAAAAAGTATCTAAAAAAAGCTTCAACATATGATGTGCAATTTGTATATGCCAGCAGAAAGCAAGAATTAGTAAAATATACTCCAGATTTAGCCTCTTCTTTCCCTTTGCATTATTTATAGGCACAGTCTATTTGACAATGTAACAGCAAAAGTAGAAAAAAATGCGTTTCTTGCACCACTTTATTAGAAGTGGACAGTCAGGGAAAGATCCAGCAGAGAAAAGGCAGCATTTATCTGAGGTTTCTTTTTGAAAGAAATGAAAGAAATCAAGTCACTCAATTGTTTCTATAACTGAAAGGAATAAATTGAACCTGTTTGAACTATGGCACCCTATGACAAATTATGCAGATCTCTCAAGGTTGGAAGTAGCATTAGAATAATGCTCAGTTTCTAATTATTTCACTTTAGTACCTGCTGATTTTTAATTAAAATGATTTAACAGAAGGAGGAAAACGAACTTACTTCAACAACGGTTGTTGCCAGAACCCTTATCTGAAAAAAACCAAAAATATGTTGTCACAATAACAAGTTGGCAATTATATTAAATGTTTGAACAGTCGGCTTTCCTGTATCACAGGCAGAACAGAACAAGAATAGCCAACAGAAGGAGTTCACGGTTCAGATCTTCTGAGATCTTTAACCTACTGTTCCCCTATTGTTAGTAAGAAACTTAAAGCCTCTCTTTCTCTCATAGTTTTTCATGGTTGGTTTGTTGGTTTGTTGGTGTTTTTTTTCAAATTGAGATGTTGGAGTGAACAAAATAAGTAAAAAAATACCCATTTTTTACAGTGCAGTACAGATCAGCTGTTCTGATGGAATTGTGCTTCTAATGGTCCTTCACAGCTAGAACAGCTTCCACTCCAGTAAGAAGTAGGATGTGCCATACAGAAATCCAAGCTAATGCTGGCCCAGATGACATGTCCACTAGTGCCAGCAAAATACCAGGTAGAGATCGCACTTCAGGCTGCAAATAGGAACACCAGATTGGTACAGCACCTTTCACAAAGTTAATTATTGGTAGACAGCATATCATGTGACTCAAAAACTGAAGTGTTTAGTCACAGGGTGGTAAGCATACCTGTCACCATCATCCAGTAGAGATAGGGTTACTTTCTTTGTCCTTTAACAAAACTACTGTTTAGTTTTCAAAAGCAGTTTCAAGCTTTTCCCTTCTGAAACAGCTGCTTTTTCACCTCCTCTTGACGCTACCCCTCATCAGTAATTAATCCGTCGTTCCTCATTCCCATCCCAGCAATTCCATATTTCATAAACCAGGAAGCTAGGACTAAAGTCTTTCTTCCCATAGAAGTGTGATGCCCAGTGTCATCATGGACAGTCTTTCAGTAGAATTTAAGACTATTGTTAATCGAGAGTTGAATATCCACGCGCTCTTATCAGATTTGGCTTTATCTACAGTAACATTAACTAGAGCATGCACAGAGAATTTTCCTTACGGCTGCCTACTCCTACAGGTATTCTGTGCTGATCAAGGCAGCATCCATGCCTGAGAACCTGAGAAGTGTAAGTGTCTCATATTTTAGAGTAAGCAGGAAATGGCTGATAATGCAGAGCTGCATACAGGTGTCGAAGCATATTAGGTCCACATTTGCTGCCGAAAGCAATGCTCAGCCCTCAAATAGAATCACAGAATCATTTAGGTTGGAAAAGACCTCTAAGATCATCAAGTCAAACTGTAAACCTAACGCTGCCAAGTTCACCACTAAAACCACATCCCTAAGCCCCATGCCTACACCTCCAGGGATGGTGACTCCACCACTTCCCTGAGCAGCCTGGTCCAGTGCTTGACAACACTTTTGGTGAACAAATTTTTCCTAATGTCCAATCTAAACCTCCCTGGCGCAACTTGAGGCCATTTCTTCCCATCCTATTGCTTGTTACTTGGGAGAAGAGACCGACCCCCACCTCACTACAACCTCCTTTCAGGTAGTTGTAGAGAGCGATAGGGTCCCCCCTCAGCCTCCTCTTCTCCAGACGAAACAACCCCAGTTTCCTCAGCTGCTCCTCATACGACCTGTTCTCCGGACCCTTCACCAGCTTCATTGCCCTTCTCTGGACACGCTCCAGCACCTCAATGTCTTTCTTGTAGTGAGGGGCCCAAAACCACACACAGTATTCGAGGTGTGGCCTCACCAGTGCCAAGAAGCTGCTGGTGTACAAATGAATATTCCTTTGTTTTCAACTTCCAACAGCTTCAGATATGTAAGAGAACATGGGATTTCTTATCACAGCAATGAGAATAACAAAATTCTCCAAGCCCTGTTTTAGACAATAATTAAATTCACTAGCAATTTATGTAGTGGATGATGGAAGCCTGTCACTGGTGAAATAGTAGATGATCTTGAAAGCTATACTGACATATACAGACTAAATTATGTGTACTTAATTCCATCTAACATGACCGACACCAATTATTTGCTGATAAAAAAATCTGATTCATTCTTATGTAGCTGAAGTTTAATAGATTGACAAGCAGTGATATGGTTTGCAACGTCTTTATTGTTCCTATTTTTATTTGTAAATTAGAGCTTTTAAAAAGTTTTTGGCTATTCTCAGTTTCTACCCGGTATCAAATAAAAACTCCTTGTCTGGATTGTCAGCTGACTCCAAGGATATAACACAACCATCACGGAAATTGTCAATTTATATTTGCTTTCCAAAGAGCAAAGAGAGTAATACTAAGCAGATTTTGTGCAAGCTTGGTTGTGCTGGACTTCAATTTACACCAGGGTGAATGAACAGAATATGGCCCTGTCTCTTCCTCCACATGTATGTTTCTTACTAATCAAATGCCCCAGAAGTGGCACAGTTAAAATCTGTATTCCATTAGACCCACTAATTATATCTGACCAAATATTATTCATTCATGTACATAAAACACACTGATTTCTGTGGGCTACATGTGCATCCAAGACTGTCACATTTTTAATAATCTTAAAAATGCAGCAATTATACAAAAATAAGCCTCTCTGTCTATCTGTCAGTGCAGTGCTCATGAACTCATATTTTGGCCCTTCCACCCAGAGCACAAGTCCCACCAGTCAGCATCTTCAGGCAAGCATCTTCATATTCCCTTACCAATGTGCTGCAAAGCCAAACTAGACAAAACAACTCACAAGCTGAGATTTTAAGGACAGGTCTCTTTAAATCTTTGGTCTTTGAAAGAAGAATGACACAAAAGACTCCAAATCTCTATTTCCCTTTGTGATGTGAAGTCATATTCTAGCAACAGGGCTCAAATGACTGCAATGCTAAAGAACTAGAATTTTCTCTTGCTTGCATCAAGATATATCAGAGTAATTCTAATGAAGTCAAAAGTCACTTTCTCAGATAGCTGAGATCAGAGATCATATCATTACGACTGCTGTCTTAATGCCTTAGTCATTTTCAGAACATACAGTTCTATAAGTGGGATTTGAGGTCTCTAATTCATTGCGTTAAGCAGCTGAGTGTAAAATCATTTACACTGCAGTCACTGATGTCAGAGTGACATCAGTCCACTCTATAAGGAGGCCGCAATTCAACTTGAAAACAGCATGGGGAGGTAGGGGGTAGGGAAGAGAGCTATTTTTAACATTATACTTTGTGAAATTATTTTTTATAAGTATGTAAGAGGGATAATGCTCTGGAGGACAGAGAATTAGGCTTTCAGATAAATTATTTCAGTATTTACCAAAACTGCAGTACCACTTTGTTGTTTAATCATCCACAGGAGTCCTTTCTTGCTTTATATGCTCCTGTCATAAGCATTATGCACTAATTAGCTAAAACCCCTAGATAGCATTAGTGCTGCTTTAAAGCTTTACTGCATTGTCTGAAACAATTTTTAATAAACCAGTTATATTAAAATTGTACAAATGTAAAGCACCGGTAAGCATAGATGTGTAATGTACCTCATAGCACCTACAGGTGCATACATCTAAATAGTAATATAATCATCTGGGAAACTCATTTACAAATTCTACTTTAACAGCATCTTGAGCCTGAACTTCTACTTCAAATGGTACAGATATCCTTACAGTTTGCTGGTAAGGGAAGTAACTGTGAAGCAGTGTCATGCAGACTGTCAGAAAATTCAAGACTTTCAAGCTTCTAGATCTTGCTGTATCGAATAACTGTTCTTTGCCAATAATTGATAAATGTTTCTGTCCATTCTAGATATTTTCTGTAGCTGCAGAAAATAGTTAATTCTCTGTTTTCCACTGTATATGTAAAAGTTGATTCCAATAACATATTTTGTATTAAGGGAAACTTTTTTAGAAAAGAAATGCAGATTATTTTCTGTCAAACTAACTTCTGTTAAGAATGTCTTTTTTTAGCCATCTCTACTTTCTATCAACTTCTGTGGACTGCTCAGTAGGTTTATAATTGAAAATAACAATGTAAATTTCCTACTGTACTTAAATACAGAAAAAGTTAACTTTAATAAAAAAAGATATCTAGCTTTTTTTTATGGGTAAGTTTGCATGCTAGATCACAGTTCACTCAGTTCCTGTGTACACTGCCTAATGGCATAATAAAAAAGTTTGTCTGAGTCAGAATTACCTGGTTGTTAAAAATAGTTAGCACTCCTTTCTGAGAGGATGTTACTGTGAAATCCAGATGGGGGACCTTCACTATACTCTTAATCACATCTTGTCTCTTGACAGCTATCAGTGATGAAATATTACTCTTCATTTTACAAACGCAGAAAATCTAAACAAATAGAACCATAATATCAAGAACATTTTCTTTTCCTGAAATGCATATTGGTACCAACTCCAAGTCAGTAATGCATTACATCATAGATTATCCTACACTTGATTTAAATGATCATGTTGCATTTTTAAATATCATTAATGCATTATGGATGTGGTAGTTCTTTCTACTTTATTTAAAAATAGAGAAAGGCAAAGAATAACTGCATAAATAAATAGTATGAGTCAGACAAATTCATAATTTCAAAATAATTTAGGAAAATGGAGAACTAGACAAGGCTGCACTGGAGTGTTCAGACACAATGAGTTTAAAGGCAAAAACCCTTGTATTCTGGAATACATAAGAAGAAGCATGAATAATAAGCAAAAACAGACATGCAATCTTATCACTGTACTTTCAATAAAGTGTGCAACACATTGCATTAAAAAAAATAGTTTTGGACACAAGATAAGTATGTCACCTGCAAAAGTAATCTGCTGGTTTTTGGATACAAGGAAAACCACATTTTCTTCTTTCAGCTGAGAAGACAAGGCATCACTTTCTCCTGTGAAATAGCCAAAAATCTAAACAAAACAAAATAGAAAAAACCCAAAGCAATTTATAATAAAACTAGTTCTGGAATATATGTTTATATATATAAAGTAAAATACGTATCTCACATTTTTATCATTTAATATTCTTTGATAAGTTTCCTAGTGTTATTTGCCTTGACCATTAGCTATCAATATGACCAGATTGCTGAGATGTGCTACTCAGGTACAATCTTTCTTCAGTATTTGGAAAGAAGGCAGCATATACAGGGCTTCTAGGAATAAAGCCCATATAATTGATAATGCTGTTAGTACAGCTTTGCCTTGTAACTATTGTTTGTAAATAATAATCTTCAGTGTCCTTTTCTCAGTTTTACCTACTTGTGCTTCCTCAGCTAGACAAAAAAACAGTAAAAGGCAGACAAAACAGACTTCTTTATACTTACACACTTAGAGATTCAAAGTGGCATAGTGGTTTAGCTTATACAGAAGAAGATCTTTTCCATAAAGATATGTAGATTCCCATTTGCCTGAAAAAATTGAATATAAAGTCCATTTTTTTAAAATTCTTTTTTCAGCCATCTCCCTAAGCCTGGCAATGTTCCATTTGTACTGATCATGATGGAGACCCCTATACAGGGTATTCAGGTAAGTAGCTCATTTCTGTTCCAGGGTGTGACAATACTTCAGCTGAATTGCTCTCCGAACCTCAAGCTCTGTACTCAAGAGCAAGTTAGTAATTTCCTCAAGAAATGAGTTCAGCTCCACTCAGCTGTACAGATTTTTTTAATCTCCTTTCCCATATTATGGACATTATACATAGTCCCTTTCATGAGTTCTAAAAGCAAGGCCCCTTTGGATGCAAGAAAAACTTTGCACTTTTTTCTAGGTCAATATTTTTCTTGTTATACAATAGAACTCCCACTTTTCTTCTTTGAAAGATTCAGATGTGCATCTTTCAAAAAAATAATTCTTACACAATATTAATCTTCATCTTTTACTTCACAGCTCCCTCCTTACCTTGAACAAGATTATTATCTATCATACATCATCAGTCAGTACATCATCTATCTATTATAGCCCCTTACATTCCTCTTTCTAGTCTCTTGTAATATCACCTTGTATTTCCATTCTGTATCCAAACAGGATACGGGATTTAGTGTCCTAAATTCCAGGTCTATGCTCCTTCTGCAAAGTCATAATAACATAATCTTCACAATACCCAGCATGAATCAAAAAGTGCTCATACGAGTAATTCATACAGATGGACTGTTTTTCATGTTATAGTATTTTCACAGCTGATTCTCCCCGGTTTAAGTTCCATCTGATTCCCCTAATTGTTTAGTATTAAATTGAAGGGTTCTGAAAGAATTGGTGTGGCTAGAACATTATAATGGAATGTTTTCCCAAAAAATCAAGGATGTACTCCTTCCACTATCATCAATTAATATTCTTGTTGCAGTTTCCACTTATAATACATATAAAGACAGTGTTACAGAACCATGAAGTCATGAAGTTGAAAAGGACCTCTTGGGATTATTTAGCCTAACTCCCCTGTCCAAGGATGCCCAGTTGCCCAGGACTGTCCAGTTAGGTTTTGAATATCTTTAAGGGTGGAGACTCCACAAACTCTTTGGCAACCTGTTCCAGTGTTTTATCACCCTCATGGTAAAAAAGTATTTACTTGTGTTCAAATGGTATTTCTCAAGTTTCAACTTGTGGCAGTTGCCTCTTGCCCTCAAATCATTGATAGAATAGCATCATAACACAGTTTGGGTTGGAAGGCACCTTTAAAGGTCATGTAGTCCAACCCTCTCCAATAAGCAGGGACATCTTCAACTAGATCAGATTGCTCAAAGCCCTGTCCAACCTGTTCTGTCAGTGGGCATTATGGAGAAGTGTCTATCTCTCTCTTCTTCATTCCCCCCATTAGGTATTTACCCAATGTTAAGAGTCTTCTCTTCTCCAGACTACCCAGTCTCAGCTCTCCCAACCTTTCCTCATATAAGAGGTGCTCCAGCCCCTGAATCATCTTCATAGCCCTTCACTGGACTTGTTCCAGTAGCTCCATATCTCTCTTGTACTGGGGAGCCCAGACCTGGGTGTTGTGCTCCAGGTATGGTTTCAAGCCCTGAACAGAAAGGAAGGATCACCACATTTGACCCATTGGCAATGCTTTTCCTAAACGAGCCTAGGATGCTGTTGGCCACCTTTGCTGTGAGGGCACATTGCTGGCTCATGTTCAAAGGACCAAAGGTCTTTTGTGCACAGCTGCTTCTGGACTAGTCTGTCACCAGTGTATACTGGTGCATGGGATTATTCCTCCCCATGTGAAGGACTATGCACTTCCCTTGTTGAACTTCATGAGGTTCCTGTCAGTCCATTTCTCCAGCCTGTTGTGGTAGTGACCTCAATGGCAGCAGCACAACCCTCTGGTGTATCAGCCACTCCTCCCAGTTTTCTATTTGCAAATTTGCTGAGGGTGCACTCTCTCCCATTATCCAGGTCATTAATGAAGAAGTTAAATAGTATTGACTCCAGTGTCAACCCCTGGCATATACCATTACTGCCTTGCCTCCTGCTGAGTTTTTTATTACTTAGGAGTTCAGACAGTATTCTTTCCACTTTACTGCCGACTTACTTAACCCATACTTTGTCAGCACATCTACGAGTACATTATGAGAGACAAAAACCTTACTAAAGTCAAGGGAAACAACATCCACTGCTTTCCTCTTTACCCACCAAGCTACTCACGTCATTGTAGAATCCTATCAGGTTGGTTAAGCACGATTTCTTTGATTGCCCCTTTATAAATCCATGCTGACTACTCCTGATCTCCTCCTTGTCCTACATGTGTTTGGAAATGGTTTCCAGAATTAGTTGCTCCATCACCTTCACCAAGAATCGAGGCAAGGCTAGTTGTTCTGTACTTCCATGGATCCTTTCTCTTGCACTTACTGAAGAGATAGGAATGACATTTTGCTTTCTTAAGCATATGTTCCCATTTTCCAGGCAGTGGAGAACGGGCCCTTCACCTTTCTGGGGACTAAGGTTTTGTTGGGAGGACTTTTTCTTTAAGGGTAGACTGACCTGGTAGCAGGTCGCTCCTGAGTCCTGACAGGATGCCAGATGCAGTGGTTGGGATAGGCCAGTAGCCGCCCTAAAGCCAACAGAGGTGGAAGTCCTCAGTGAGACACGTAGGTGTGTCCTGTAATGCTTCCTCTAGACATAAGGCAGTGCCACATCTGATCTTTTGCTTCTGCCCAGCTGGCAGAACACTGCCCAAAGAAAGGGCATCTTAGAAATACTTTGCAGCTGCATAAACAGCTTCTGCTAACTCCAACATGGAGACAGAGCCAACAAGCCCCACCACATAATGTCTACCAGAGGTTGACAAAGAGCAAAAAAGATGAAGCAAAATGCAATTTACACACCTTTCAGATTTTTGCCACTAAAAAAATAGAGTTTTCAAAGTGCCAACTACATTTGGGAAAGAGATGCAGAGGTCAGTTTCCCAAGCCATTGATAAATGATAGCTGTTATACTATCCAGGATAGATCTTTTAAATTTTGAAGCCAGTAAATGACTAAGGGTAGATCTCAATTTAACTAAAGAGAAGATATAAAATTACTTTTTTTTTTTTTTTTTTTTTTAAACAAAGAGTGTCCTTTGAGTATGGGTATACTGTTGTGGAGACTGCTGGAAACTTAGGAAACCCTTGAACATGGAGGCACTTGAAAAAGAGAAACATCAGGAAGATAAAGAAATAGGAACACTCATACAAGGCCATGATCTTTTAGGTCATGGAAATATATTTGGAAGATTTTGTCAAGCCAAAGAAAGGCCAGATATGGAAAGGGAAACTTGAAAAAATTAGATGTGTGAGAGTAGGAAGAGAGGAACAGAGGGTTAGGAATAGAGTTCTGGGACAGAGGGGTGGGGTGAGAGAGAGACAGAGAAGATAAAAGAGAAATATCAAAAGATGACGTATATCCCTCTTCATTGTCTTTCAAGATTGAGGGCATGCTCAGCAGTGCCAAAAGCAGCAGAGCAACTCAGAAGAACAGGGATGAAATACAGTCCTTTTTAAAAAATCACTAGAAAACTAGAGCACAGACAGCAGAAACGATGATGGCTACTTAGGATGTTACAGAAAGTAACTGTTATCAATGATACATTTGAAAAATTAAGTGATAAAAAGGAAGCTGAAGCAAGACTAAGGCTACTTACATTGTTCACAGGGGGTAATTAATGATATGTCCAAGTTGCAGTTTATAAATATGATTCGTCTAATATAACTAGTAGGTTAATGAACATTATAAGAACGAAGGTATCAGATAAGGGAGGCATATCTGCCTGTTTCACCATCTCTCTCAAATAACAGCTGGTCTCAACTAGAATACCCAGAACAGTTTCCAGTCCTAAAAGACCAATTATAATTTTCAACAGAGTTTTCAAGCCTGTAAAGGAGATTTGCTTTTTTTCTCTTCCTTTTCAGAAAATGAGAAGTTTAATTTAAAAGGCATGAAAAGTTAAGGAGGATGAGAAAAGCAAGTGGGACTTAGGCTGGTCAAGTATTAAATAGAGACAACTTAAAATTAAAATAATAAAAAAAGAGGAAGAGCTACAGATATGGATGGAAGATAAAAGGGTCTATGATCCTCACCAGTAAGTAAATGTGTACATCTTTGAATGTCAAGAGGTGGAAAAGAGATGAGGAGACTTTAAAGCTGTAGTACAGCTACACTTACAAGCCTGTGGCACAGTTGGAAGAACAAAGAACACTGGCTTCATTCGTGACACTAGTAACTCTCCCAGATTACCTGAAACATTTTGAAACTGTAGACTTTGTCAGAGAAACAAAATTAAAAAAGACCACTACGACGTAATATGTAGGATACAAACCAATCCCATTTTATTTTATTAGAACCCATTCAAATAAGGCTGGAAATATCTGTTTTGGTCCAGTCATTACAGATAGGCTACCACAATTACAGTAGATCAAAAGCTGATGTTGAAGTTATGGTTGACATAAATTTGGCTTAGAAAACAATCAAATGATCAATGCAACGATTATTCTGTTTCAGTGTAAGCTAAATCTGGAGAATTCCAGGAGTCAGCGGTATTCTTATTTCAGTTTTCATCTCTTTCTCTGTACCCAGACTACCCATAAAACAAATCTTATCCTTTTGTCCTGAAAGGAGCTTAGCTTTATGTTCCATAATGTATAGATAGCTTGTCATACATATCACCATCAGACTTCCCACTAAACAGAAAGAAAACAAAAAAGTGAAAAACTCACAGCAGATTTTCAATGCAGTATCATATTTCAAACTGTGTTGGATAAGGCTGTGTCAAGGTAAAGAAGTCAATGTCAGATTGAAGCTGATTCAAATAGTCTGATCTTTGTCTATTTCATAACTGAATTATCACTTCCATCATGGATGAATTTCCAGTTACTTTATGTTAAATATTTCTCCCCACAAGAGAAAATAAGTAAAAAATCACATTAAAACTTCAATCAGGAATCTTTTGAACAGAGAAATAACAAATATATCTATTTCATTTCCTTCAGCACTCAATATAGTCTCACTGATATCCATCTTCTACACGAAATATATGCTGTGAGATGCTGAAGATTCACTGAACACCAAAGTCCTCTTTTTTTGAGAAAGTTTATACACAGGACATTTTAAAAGGCTGTCATCAGTCAGCACACACTTGGTAAAATTTGAAGAATGCTCATAGAAAGGGTTCGTTCTGGGCAATTTTATCACAGGCAAATCCCACACCGATTTCATAAGGAAACTAAAGGGACTTAATCTCTTTTATTAGACCCCATACTGTGCTTGCTTGTGTAATTATGTAACCTGTGTAAGCAGTCTGATTGTGTTGGAAACTCAAGGAAGGTTTTAGAGTAAAAGATACTCATCCCCTAAACAAACAGAGCTTCCTTCAGTTCTCTTATAAACTAATAAGCCTGAACATAATTTGCTACTGTTCTGCTTCTGTAAACAAAGGACCGTCAGTCTAACAGCCACCATGAATTCAGAATTACTTTTCTCAGCTGGTCCCTGTTTCATACCCATACAGCATATTTTAATCTACATAGGATATGTGTCTAGCTTGCCACATCTACACCAGAGATTATGTCACCTCTCTCCAATCCTATACAAAGAGCAGTAAGAAGTTTGGAATGAGGTGGAGAATTTTGAATAGTACAAGAACTTGACTAGTACTGTAATCATGCAGTACTCCAGCCTGTCTGATGGCAGCTGGCCATTTCAAGAGCTCAGCTTGTGTACCATGTACCAGTAAATCCGGAAATGTCTTTTTCCCCTCCTATTTTTAGAGAGTTTCAAATAATGCTGAGCAAAGCCAGGACTTCGCCTTTAAGTATCCTCTCATACTGAAAGGACAAGGAAGGAAAGAGGAAGGGATGACATGCAAGTACGAGACATGCAAAGAAAAAAGATTTCAAAGCTACCTCTCACAAAGTGAATTTAATAAGAGAGGAACTGGATGTGGCCTAAAGTTTATCTGTTAGAGAGGCTTATAGGCAAATTCACTAGAAGGCAGTTACATGATCTTTGATGTCCTCTACAGCTAACTATTCCACAGTTTTCCTCCAGGTCCTCCTTGAAGAAAATCTTTAATGCCTCACCTAAGTAAAGTTTATGAGTAATGTGACATTGTAAGTGAAAACAATGTTAAGAGAGGTATTAACTGGAAATGTTCCCGTAAAGAAACTTATTAAATTGAAACAACCGAATACACTCTTTTTAGATGGTATTAGGACATTACTTGATAGCAATTGTTGATAACATGTAAAGAACAGGTGTGGGTTATCGTCAAGGTTCAAATAATAACATGAGGTACCAGTGTAACGTAAAATGGAAATATGCTAATGAATCATGCCACTTGTTAATACCTTGCCTTAAGGCTTTAAGTCCAGCGAGGACTTGCCATATATGTAATGCCACCTCTGCTATTATAGGAAGGTTACCATGTGCTGGAAGTTATGCCCTATCTGTAAAATTCTGTCTTTAGGTAAAACAAACAAACAAGCAAACAAAATCCCGTAGTAACATACAATGATGAATGCTTTTGATAAAGATTGGCTCTAACAATCTAAAAATCAGTCATTTTTATTGAACAGCTGCTTAAAAGACTATCCATGGAAAATACCTTAATAAAAGATACTTTTCTAGAGCAAGTATTCATCATTTCTAATAACACATGCAAAAAGAGAGAATTGTGTTTAAAAGAAACAAGATAAAGTACTTTTTCACAAAATGTGTGAAATGTAGATGCTACGGAAGTATCCTTTTTAGGTAGGTTCAGAAGTAGTTTACAAATGGATAGACTAAAAGTCTATCAAGGGATATTAAACACAGAGTGCAGTTGCAACTCCAGCACAGAAAATTCTTAAGCTAGGATGGGTAAACCAGATCTACTATTTCATAGTTACCTCATTCTTACACAATTTTTACAAAGATTTGCTATTTACCACCACTATAGACAGAAAAATGGATTTCATGTATCTCACCCACCTACAGACTCAATACATACAGAATTCTTTGGTTAAAAAGCTCTCTACTAAAATGCTGCCATACCTCTAACGCTTCAGATTTAAAGTAAAGGCCAGATTTATTCCTGTGAAAAGGGGAAAAGGAAGGAGAAGAAGCAGAGGAAAGAGAGAAAAGAGAGGAAAGAGGAGAGAGAGGAAGCATTTCTGATGGTTTAGCTAAAGACACTTACTTGAGGCCTGCCTGTATCTAGTGGAATCCCTCAGGGGTTTGTACTGGAACCAGTACTATTCAATATATTCATCAATGACCTGGACGAGGGAACAGAGAGCACTGTCAGCAGGTTTGCTGATGATACAAAACTGGGAGGGGTGGCTGACACACCAGAAGGCTGTGCTGCCATTTAGTGAGACCTGCACAGGCTGGAGAGCTGGGCGGGGAGAAATTGAATGAAATACAGCAAGGGCAAGTGTAGAGTCTTGCATGTGGGAAAGAACAACCCCTGGTACCAGTACAGGTTGGGGACTGAGCTGTTAGAGAGTAGTGTAGGGGAAAGGGACCTGGGGGTCCTGGTGGGCAGCAGGATGACCATGAGCCAGAAATGTGCCCTTGTGGCCAAGAAGGCCAATGGCATCCTGGGGTGTATTCGAACGGGTGTGGTCAGTAGGTCAAGAGAGGTTCTCCTCCCCCTCTACACTGCCCTGGTGAGACCACATCTGGAATAGTGTGTCCAGTTCTGGGCCCCTCAGTTCAAGAAGGACAGGGAAGTGCTTGAAAGAGTCCAGCGCAGAGCCACAAAGATGATTAAGGGGGTGGAACATCTCCCTTATGATGAAAGGCTGAGGGAGCTGGGTCTCTTTAGCTTGGAGAAGTGGAGACTGAGGGGTGACCTCATTAATGTTTATAAATACATAAAGGGTGAGTGTCAGGAGGATGGAGCCGGGCTTCTCTTTGTGATGGCCAATGGTAGGACAAGAGGCAATGGGTGCAAGCTGGAGCATAGAAGGTTCCACATGAACATAAGGAAAAACTTTTTCACTGTGAGGGTGACAGAGCACTGCAACAGGCTGATGAGGGGGGTTGTGGAGTCTCCTTCTCTGGAGACATTCAAAACCTGCCTGGATGCTTTCCTGTGTGATCTACTCTAGGTGGTCCTGTTCTGGCAGGGGGGTTGGACTAGATGACCTTTCGAGGTCCCTTCTAACCCCTAGCATTCTGTGATTCTGTGATTTATCCTCAGAGCACAAATTGCATATTGTAGTCGCAAAAGATTCTGCATTTTGTTAAGAAGCCTGAGCCAATGCATATCAGTGAAGTAGTTCAGGAGAAGACCTGGACATCCTCAGGCTCCATGCTCCTGATCCTGCTACCTATCAGGAACCTAGTATATCAAACTTTGCTTGAGGATACGCAGTTCTGGTAGACAACTCGGTGCTCTTTCACAAAACAAGCAGAAGACATGTTTTTATTTGGTTAAGTCATGCTTTAACATGTATTCATGTGCATCTACGTAACAGGCTCAAGGATCTTGTTCCAGAGAGAACAGGGGCAAACTTCCTCAACTCATGTAAACCAGTGGAGCATAATTAATGTTTAGCAAGAATTTTGATTTGCAAGTTCAGCTGATGTACTAAACAGAGAGGGGTAGGAAAGAAAAGTAGATCACCTACAAATAAAAATGTAACCTACCCAGGCTCTACTTAATTCATTCCAATTAACCTTTCTTATCAGACTTCCAAAGCATGCCTTTATAACAACAGATACCTCTCAGAGTCAGAAAGAATGGAATAAGAAAAATTATACATATTTGGAATAAAAAGTATTCCTGCTTGCTGAAATTACTGGACTGATTTTGTAACCAGCACAGAGTGAGCAAATCTTGCTCTTAAGTATCTGCTAGAATTAGCAGCATGGGTTCTCCCATGTGTTAAGCTGTTTTGCATGATATATTTAGAAGTCTGAAATTGGCAAAGATAGTCAGCAGAAAGTCCGGTACAGGGAATCTCTCAGGAAAAAGCTTGTAGAGACAATGCTGTCATTTGCAAAATACCCACCTGTTTACCAACATGAAAAATGGGGGAAAGGCAGGGCTCAGCAAAGATCTTCCTTACTTAATCTTTCCATGACATCATCTTTAATATACAAGCCTAATCTCTCCTTTGTCTTCTGCGTAACCAGTTTTCCAACTAGTTTCTGGAACTGCTTCCAAGCATTCTTGAAATCCAGCAATTCAAGAGCAGAGCGACTCTCCTTATCATAATTCCTCTTTTCAGACAAGCTTTATTAATAGAGGACAAGGTAAGAGGGAGAGGTCTTACAGTCTGGTCCAAGCCTTGTTTCACTCCTTAAGTGTGAGTTCATAGGAGATGCAGCTGTTTGACAGCTATACCAAGCACTACGTAATAAAAAAGAGGTGAACTGGCTTAGTGTCTCAAACTGGCAAACATAGTAGTGAACTGTTGATGTTACAACCCGCTGTTACACCACAGAATCCTACTCGCTGAGCAGCCCAACAGATTTGTTCTAAAGCATAACTTGCAGAAAGGTATCAAGTTTTAACCTGCAGGCACGAAGAGATGGAGAATCCATCATGTTTGTTCCAAAGGTTAATTGCTTACATTGTTAAAATTTAGGCCTCCTATTTGAATTTGCGTGGCTTCAGCTTTCATTCAGCAGTTGTTGGAATGTCTTCAAAATGTTTGTGACTCTTTTCCACATTTTTCAGCTTTTCAATACCCTTAAAGGATGCTGATGCCATGTTGCTGTGCCATACCATAATAAGCAAATTGGTGCTCTGGTCAAATAATGAATTTCTTTTCACTAGACAATATTGATCAATTTCTTTATATTGTCCTTTTGCTATCGATCTCCAGCTTTTCTATTACTTCACCGAAGGCTGATGACAGGCTCATTGCTCAAGACTTTCTTGAATTGCTGTGCATCCCATTAGTCTCTGCTCCATGGAGATTCCGTAGTTGAAAGGAAAAGAGAATTGTATTTTATACTTCTTTGTGGCTATCTAAAGGATTGATATCAGTCAGGCATGTTTCAAGAATATCAAAATCACTTCTTTAAAAAAAACACATAAAGACTATCATCTTCGCACACACTTGGGAAAATCACCTGAGTAATGTTTTTGAAACATAGAGGGAAGACAACAATTTGGTATGAAACAAAGTTACTGAAAATAATGCATGTAAGTGTCACTGCATGAAATAGCTAGTTCCTCAGGGGAAGTGGTGTTTCAAGATATGCTACCTAACATGAGCATTACAGCTGCTTGAAGTTCTATCATTTCACTGGGAAGAGCACAAAAGTTTCTGCTTACTCCTGCTCAACAGCAATGAGTATGTCTTTCAATTAAAATAAGGAAAAGAGTTTGGCAGTGAAAAGCAGTACTGATTCCTGGAAAAGGGAGGGATAGCTTGAGGATGCATTTTTGCTGTTCCAACAGTGATTCACCAGGAAAATGTGTGTCAAGCTACTCAGTGATTTGTCAGATACTTGATCAGAGTTATGGTGTATTTGATCTATTGCTTCCAGATGAATTGTTGTTATGCAGTGTTTCCCATTGATTAATTTTCCCAGTCTGTCTTATCCACGACATCAGACTGTATTCTCATTTCCCAATTAATAATAGTGGTTTAAGGTTTCTAAAAGGTATTAATATCCATCCCTGGAACGAAAGGGTTAAGAACAGAAAGCCATGTTTTGTTCTCTTGCAACCACCCATGAGGGAAACTTCATGTTTACAGCATAATGAAAACACACAGAAACTCCAAATAAGGAACCATTGCTTTCAGTATCGGCTGATTCTGTTGTCTTCAATGTTTAAACTCAAAAAATATACAGTACAATTTTAAAATAAGATGTGATGACTGAGTGGACTGACAGACAAAAGTGGAGAAGATAGGAGCTGCATTAGAAGATAAGTGAAGTCTAAAAGGAAAATTCAACATTAAATTGATGAGTAATAGGAAGTCCTTGCATTAGTTGGCCTACAGTAGCATTAACTGAACGAAAAGCATTTTCTTTCCTGTCTCCCTTACTGATACTGTGGAAAGCATTGGATATGGCATATGGTAGAGTTAATGTTTATTCAGAAGTCAAACTCCCAACTCTCCTCTTCTTACTACGTAATCATATTAGTCTCACTTATTGGAAATTCTCAGATCAGTACAAAGTTAATGAAATGTATGTCTGTATGGGTGCAAAGAACAGCTACAGCAAGCTCATTGCAGAATTGGCAGCTCTTTTGAAAAATCAATAATTTTTAATCTTTATCTCAAGAACTATCATAAGTCTATAAAATTCTATGCAAGTTTTAAAATGAGCATGTACCACAGTCCCACACGGTTTGTATAGCCAAGATGAAGTTCATCTCACCTAACTTAGTCATCTAAAAGTTAATCATTTAAGTCACCTTGTATGCCAATCAGAAATAATAATAAACACTTTCAGACACTGATTCATCTGCCTGGTCTTAGGTGCTTAACTTTTAAATTAACATTATTTAGGAGAGATGAATCGCACTTGCAGCTAGTACAGATATTTACACACATGCCAGGTATACTAGAGCTCACATGTCACGGTGCATTCTGCAGCCAACTTCCAACTGTAGCACAGATGTTCTGACAGCATCTCATCATCTCCCAGGATTGCCCAATTGGGTCCCTTCCCTGCTGCTAACACTTGTGCTTGCTCCAGTGAACTGTGTTTCAGCCAAACACTTTTCTCAATCCAGAATATTCTTAGATTCTTGCAACTTTTCCACTTAGTCTGCTTTATGATTTAAAGTTCACGTCCTAATACGGAGTAGATTATATAGCTAGGATTACAAATTCTGCAGAATCAAACCCTAATTTCGAACTTTTGCCATTAGGCTTGTGTATTTTTTTCTTCCATATTGCATTATCAACAGATGTAGATCTGTATTAAAAGCCTTGGTTTTTAATGCCAAGTGGCTGGAAAAGAAGAAAGGTTTCTTCTGTCTGTAAACTCTCCCTTGCTCTATAGATACACACTGAAGCTATACATAGACACTCTGAACAATCACCTGGCTTTCATCTGCCTTTAAGGCTTAAGAAGAGCAAAGAGAACATGTAAGAAAACAAATGCCAGGAGAAGGCTGTAAAAATCCCAATTAAAAAGCTGAAGCCAGGTAGCCAGAGTTTTCGGGGGGGTTATTTTGTTTTCTTTCAGAGGACTGCAGTCTGGCTGTCTACCATGCCCTTTGAAAAAATAAGTTTTACCAAGTTCAAAACAGGCAGCAAAACTCAGCATCATCTGATTCCTGAAACAAACATATTGAGTATGGACAAAAGCGTCTCTTTTCTTTTCTGCTCACTCTCTGCTTGTCAGGAAAGATGGGAAGGAGCCTGTGACTTGAAAGGCATGCTAGCAGAAGATAAAGAAAAAAGAAAATGAGTGAAAGCAACATATAAGTGAATGAAAAAATGGGAAATGAAATATGTCTCTTAAATGCCTTAAAACACTCTTTTCCCACCCTACAATGTTCTGCAAAAGCCCTGACATTTTTGATGGTATAGTTAGAACTGGGAGTCATGCATGGTTAGAGAGTAGCAGAGACTTTGGCACTTTACTCTGCTTCAGATTGTTCATGTGTCACTCGATGCTCTGATGTCCTGAAACATTTCAAGCTACTAAATACAGCAAAGGCAGGGAACTTTTGAAGGCAGTCCCAGACATCTGCAGACTTTCCAGTTGTGAATTCTTACTTCCAAGGCTGTTTTTTAAGGCTTCTCTTATACATATGTGTTGTGGTTTTAGCCCAGCTGGCAACTCAGCCCCACGCAGATGCTTGCTCACTTCCCCTGGTGGGATGGGGGAGAAAATCAGAAGAGTGAAAGTGAGAAAGATTGTGGGTTGAGATAAAGACAGTGTAATAGGTAAAGTAAAAGCCACACATGCCAGCAAAGCAAACCAAGGAATCCATTCACCACTTCCCACGGGCAGGCAGGAGTTCAGCCATCACCAGGACAGCAGGGCTCCGTCAGGCGTAACGGTGACTTGGGAAGACAAATACCATCACTCTGAATGTCCTTCTCCTTCCTTCTTCTTTTCCCAGCTTTATATATTGAGCATGACATCATACGGCCTGGAATACCCCTTTGGTCAGCTGGGGTCAGCTGTCCCTGCTGTGTCCCCTCCCAACTCCTTGTGCACCCCCAGCCCACTTGCTGGTGGGGCGGTGTGAGGAGCAGAAAAGGCCTTGACACTGTGTCAGCGCTGCTCGGCAGTAACTAAACCATCCCTGGGTTATCAACGCTGTTCGCAGCACAAATCCAAACCACAGCCCCCTACTAGCTGCTGTGAAAAAATTAACTCTACCCCAGCCAAAACCAGCACAATATGTAAGCATATGACACACATATGTGTCAGACACCTGAAAATTTACAGCAAATGCATTCTTCCATCCCATGTAAATTGTGCATAACAGACAACACTTTAAAAGGACTGTTGCAGAAGTGATCTAGGAAGCTCTTGGGAGTTTCAAGGACTGTTTTTATAGTACAGGACTGGGGACCTTGTATTACAGCTTCTTGTACTCTTTTAATCCCATGAGCTCAGCTACATATATATTTAGTACTTTGAGTTGAGACACACGTCCAGTAAGCCACACACATACACTTCCAGAAATGCAAATACTGGATTGTGGTTTCTCCCTTCGTGCAACTGCAAAAGTAAAGGTAAAATCCTTTTTGCAGCATTTCCATTGATGTACATGCATGTTTGATGAGCAGGGTCTGGTCCAAATACAAAACAGTGCAAACAAGAAGTATTGCAAAGCAGATCTGGGTTTCTTACATGTTTCAGCTTTTTAAGTGTATGAAAAGTTAGAAAAGGATTGGCTAATGAATTGATCAGATTATGAAAACCATAGCAGCATTGGCTCTAGACTGCGTTAGGTAAAACAGATCACTTGAATAATGTTAGCAATTTGACAGCATTAATAACATGACCACTACCAAATCAAGCATTGAAGAGACTGCATATTTATTAATCTATCTAATTTTGCTATGAAAAATCCCAAAGCAGGAATTCTGAGACGTGATCTTTGTAAACTGTAATTTATGGGTTCTCTTTCTCTTATTTTCTAGAAATCCAAAAGGCATCTAGAGGGAGTATTTTTGACAGGTGCTGTAGTGAAAAACTACTTAGAAACCCCAAGTATATAGTGAAATCTGCCAATGGATAGTATGTGGTCTAACATGTACTACTCACTAAATTACATTTCTTCCCTGTTCTTCCTTATCAGCTTTTTGCTCCTTTCATTTTGCAGGGATAGAAAATGTACACAATTTAAGATTTTCCTTTAAAGGCAGAAGATAGAGATGTCTTCTTCTCAATGAGATGTACCATTAATTTGGCCTAGCCATGTCTTAGTGTTAGACTTTCACCATGCAACAACTGGTCCTAAACCAACCCATGACTGTGTGTTAATATAATATTTTTGCATGTGGTCTGTCATGCATAGGTAAATGTCCATTATGGACAAGGAAAGGTATAAACTTATGCTTCCCTAAAGCCCATGCTGAAGTACTAGTGGTCTGTTACTGGAAATCTTGGAAGATCATGTGTTCTATTAATCCAGCTTTTAGGGGGAAAAAATATAATTGATTTGAGAAAGGCAGCTGTTCCTTTTGCCTTTGTAATGAGAAAAAACCCAGAAGACCAATGATGAAGAAACAGACTGAATTAATTTCTTAAAGTAGGTTTCAGTTATTGATTAAATCATACTCAATGAATTTGAAAACAGATTGTAAATAAAGCTAACATTGATATGAATAGTTACTTTAATCAGTGTTTTATTTTTCTGACCCATGACTTTCTCTATTCCTAACCCTTGTCTTACAGCACTAGTTTGTCACATAAAATTGCCAGGACAAGCCCATAATTTGTATATAGATATATCTTTTGAAAGACATCAAACCCACCTCAACTACCCATGTTTTCAGTCTCAGTCCACCAGGAACCACACTCTCAGTCTAGCCCTTTTAATACCACTGAGTATATAAGAGAGGAAACAAAACAACCCAGGTATTGTTTACCAGGACATGTTTCCATGAAAATTCTGTTGTTTCCACAGCTGGCATCTAATATTTTTTTGGTCTTAAACCAAGAATAGATCTAAACTGAAAGATTTATTTGGGCATACAGCTAGAGCTGTATGCAGGCACCTTGGTCATTCCTGTGCCATTTTCACATAATGCACTCTGGAGACAAAGGCAGTTTTGCCTGGGCTGTGATGCTGCTGGTCGCTTTGTGAGGATGCAACTACTAAGAGTCACCTCTGAGCACCGTGGGGAAGCATCTTAGAAGGAAATATCACCATAATAGGAGTTTTCATTGGCAGAGTATCTGTAGAAAAAGTCTAAATACCAGTTCAGCAGTTTTTGCCTCTTCCTGGAGCAGGACACTGAGAAGGCCTGCCCAAATGTGGCTCCCCGGAGGGAAGCACTGCTGTACCGACCCAAACCGCAGAGGATTTTAAGGAAGAGAAGGAGGCAGCCACCTCCCAAGCGTGACCAGGCTGCTCAGTGCAGCAAGTGGGAGGGCGAGGTGAGGAGAAGGAGCCATGCAGCTCCCGCAAGGGCCATGTGGGGCGGTCAGAGGGCGCTGACAGGGCTCAGTCCGCCGGCAGCACCGCCCTGAGCCCCCGGCAGGGGCAGGGCCCGCCAAGGGGCCGCAAGGGCGAAGCCACCCGAGGGCGCGCCCTCCGTGGGTGGGAAGGCGGAGGGGGCTCCTCCTCCTGTTGCCCTCATCAGCGGTCTGCGATGGGGCTAGGAGCGGGCGAGGAGGCTTAGCCCTGCTCCGGTCGGGCTAT